CTTCCCCAGAACTTCTGCTTCCAAATTCTCTGAAACCAGAAGAAGGGCTTGAAGTATGGAAAAACTGGGCCCAGACCAAGAATGCTGAGCTAGAGAAAGATGCACAAAACAGACTGGCACCTATTGGGAGTGAGTATTTGGGGAGGAGAAAAAGACTGAAGTAGCAAGAGGACAAATGGCAAGAGTGATGCCCACTCGCTCTGGATACAACTGGGAAGCATCATCTGAGTTATTATACTGAATTTGAAACTAGCAAAATAGGCCTGATTCTCTGCAAATGATAGGATGTGTAGAATTTCTAAAGTTGACTTAACATACTTGGGTAAAGCCACTTTTCATAGGAGCTGGGAAGCTGTGAATGTGTAAGATGAGAGGATTAGGGCATAGGGAGTTATATTATCTTAGTAAGCCCATTCTGATCACAGATATAGGGGACCATTTCTGTCTCTGCACCTTGACTGGCCTTACTTGCTCTGATTCATCCTTTTAAAGGATGTGGGTAACAAGTAAGGAGATAGTAGTGGCCAGGGGTTCTCAGTCACCTTTGGGGCTTGTGTTTCAGGGCGCCAACTACTGCGATTTCAGGAAGATCTCATCTCCTCTGCTGTAGCCGAGTTGAATTATGGTCTGTGCCTAATGACACGGGAAGCACGAAATGGAGAAGGTGAACCCTATGATCCAGATGTACTCTACTACATCTTCCTGTGTATTCAAAAGGTAAGAAACAGACCTCCACAGGAGTGCGTTTGAACTGTTACCACTGAGTTTTTGTTCATTCATCAGCTTAATTAAATGACAAATAAGTGATTGTATTATGTTAAGAAACTTAATTTTTCAGCTACGTGAGCTTTTATTTATTTTTTTTTAATTGAATTTTAACAAAAGTTTACTGAGAACTTGGATTTCCATTCATTCATTGTTGCATATTTTCCTCCCTACTGCCCTACATGAGCTTTTAAATTCACTTATTTAAAATTACAGAATATCTACATGGTTACCCTGGAAAAGAAAATAAGCAGTCCTCCTTAATCTCATCATCTAGAGAAATGTTAAAATACTTGGTATATTATCCCACAGCGCTCTTTTTCAGTTTTTAAAAACACAACATATTTATGTAGCAGTTTTCTTTTTATTAAATACTTTTTTTTTTATAATTCTATTTTATTAATTTTCATAAACATTT